ACTAAATGCGTGACCTTTGGCCATGTTCTCAGCCTTGGTTTCTGTATTAGTAATATTCTAGGATTTGAGAGGAAATTAAATGAAAATGAGTGTTTGGTGCTCAGACCCCAGAGACATTCAGCAAATGACTCTCGCCTTCCATCGCCTGCACCCCCACTGAACACCTTCTGGTGCTTCTCGGCCTCTAGCTGCTGCCCTCTAGAACAGCCTGGACAGGGTCCGACAGTGAGATCCCAGTTTGACCTGCATATGTCCAGGTGGCCAGGGCAGAAGCCTCCTCAGAGACCACCCCTCCCCCACCACTGGAATAGACAGATTAGGAAGAGGGAATCAAAGACAAAGTACAAAGAGAACAGCCTGGAACTGGGATCTGACCAAGGCTTGGTTCACACAGGCAGCTGCAGCCCCACCGAATGCGTCCTCATGTCTGCGGAAAGGCAGGCGGCCAGCATAGGACGGGCTGCCGGAGCCCGGGGAAGGGAGTCTGGGAGCAAGACTCCGGTCAGAGTCCTAAATCACAGAGACACAAGGGACCCGCAGTGACAGCCACAGGAACAACAGACACAGAAAAGAAGGAATTAGAATTTGTATGTTTGAAGAAATAAAGGTGAGAAAAACATGGGCAAGGAAAAGAGCTATAAAACCATCAAGTTTATTTGAAAAAGAACCAAATAGTATCTAGAAACATAAAATATGATCACTGAAATGAAAGATTCAAAAATTAAATATCTGAATTAAACATTACGTTGGACCCAGCTCACAGGAGATTCAGTGAGCTGAAAAAGAGACCCAGAGAAACTGTACAGAACATGGAGACAAAGACGTGGGAAATGTGAAAGAGAAATAGAAGACAGAATAAAAAGTAAAGCACACAGCCCTGGCCGGTTTGGCTCAGCGGTTAGAGCGTCCACCTACGGTCCGGAGAGACCCGGGTTCGGTTCCCGCTAAGGGCATGTACCTCGGTTGCAGTTTGTCCCCGGCCCTGGTTGGTCGTGTGGGTGGCAGCCACTCGATGTGTCCCTTTCACGTCGATGTTTCCCTCTCTCTCTCTTCCTCTCTCTCCCTCCCACTCTGTCTGTACAAAAAATGGAAAAATGTCCTCGGGTGAGGATAAAAAAAAAAAAAAGTAAAGCACACATACCGTTGGAGTTCTAGAAAAATATAATAATAAAAAAAAAAGATGGGGAAGAGGTAGTAAATTAAGGAGAATATCCAGAATTAATGAAAGACACTGGTTATCAAATTCAAGAATTCCAATAAATTTTAAGCTGAGTAAATTAAAAAAAAAAACAATTCAAATAAAGACACATTATAGTAAAACTATAAAACAAGAGTAATGAAAAATCTTAAAAGCAGCCAGACAAAAATGACAGATTACCTTCAAGGGAAGAGCACTAAAATTGCAGCTGAGCCCCGCCACTGTGGCTCAGTGCTTGAGCATCGACCCACACACCAAGAGGTCACCAGTTTGATTCCCGGTCAGGGCACATGCCCAGGTTGTGGCCCCATCCCCAGTGGGGGGCGTGCAGGAGGCGGTCAACTGATGCTTTTCTCTCCTGGATATTTCCATCTCTCTCTCCCTCTCCCTTCCTCTCTGTCTCTAACATCAGCAAAGAAAGAAGAAAAAACAAAAAACAAAACTGCAGCTCATTTCTCAATGGCAGCAGTGGAAGCTTTCGGCTCCCATTCCATCTAGGGAGAAAATAACTGTCAACTAAGAATGTATACCCAGAAAAACTGTCCGTCAGTAATTAGAGAGGAAATAAAGACATTTTTAGACAAAAACCAAGAGAATTTACCACAGACCCTCAGTAAAGAAAGGTCTAACCTGTGTGTATGGCTGGCTGGCAGGTGGAAAATAATCCCACATAAAAAGTATAGATTTGAGAATGGTGAGCACAGATACTGAAAAATATTTAGGCCACTCTGGCCCATGTGGCTCAGTTACTGGACTTCATCCTGTGCACGGAAAGGTCACCCGTTTGCTTCCCCGTCAGGGCACAGGCTTGGGCTGTGGGCTTGATCCCAGGTAGGGAGGGAGCTTGCAGGAGGCAGCCGATTGGTGTTCGCTCTCACATCGATGTTTTTCTCTCTCCCTCTTCCTTCCTCTCTCTCTAAAAAATCAATAAAAATCTTTGACAAAGGAAGAAAAAAATATGTAGGTAAATCTAAATATTGTTTAAACTAATAATAATAAAATTCTGACTTGATGGATTAACTAAAATTAGATAAAATTAAAATACTGGACAACAGTAATATATATGTTAAAAACAGTAATGATGTTCAGTGTCTATGGTCTTTACATATTAATTGGAAGGAAGATAAACATAAACAGTAACAGTGCACAGTAAATAGTTAAACATTATGAAGAATCCGGTTAAATTATTTCAGGGTGATCACTAAAAGGCTAACAAGAGAGTATAAGTTACAGACTAGTACATAGAAAAATGAAATTAAAAACTCAAATAATTCAAAAGAAGTCAAGAAAAAAAACTTAAAAAGAGAAAGAGACAAAAATAGAAAAGTAAAAAGCATGCCAAATATATTAATAATTATAAAAATGTCAACAAAGCACATGTTCCAGTAAAATCACAACAAAACAAAAAAACACTAGTTTAAAAAACAAAACAAAAATAACTCTTTACTATTTGTTTACAAGAGAAACACCAAAACATAAGGACACCGAAAGCTTAAAACCAAAGAATAAAAAACTCCAGGTGTGTACTAACCAAAAGGAAGCTGGTGTAGCCCTATTGTCATTACACATAATTGTTATGGAAACATATACTACTGTAGATAAAGGTCACTGCATAATGATAAAAAGTTTGATGCCACCAGATGATGTAAAAATTATAAATATGTGTGATCCTAGTAGCCTCAGATATCTGTAAGGCAAAAGTGAACAGAAATTGACAACTCTACCATTATAATGGAAGATAGTTAACATATCTTAGTATCTAATGTGCCAGGCAGATAAGAAGTCTTAAAATTTGAACAAGACAATTGGAAGTCTGATCTAAAAGACGTAAATAGAAGCATGAACTTAACTAGAAAATGCACACTTGTTTAAGCACACACAGAACATTTATGAAAATTTACCACATCCAGCACCAAGTCAAATTCAACTAATTTCACAACTAACATGATAAATGCACCTTCTCTCGTGATGATAAACTTAGAAGTCAATAGCAAAAAGATGACCAAAACCACTCTATAACTTTGGAAATTGGCCATTCAAACAAAGATCAAGAATACAACTATAAGTTATAAGGGAAAATAGGAATATTTTGTACTAAATTATCTTGAAAGTACAATATAAAACTTGTGTGAAACTGCTAAGGTGGTAGTTACAGGGAAATTTATATTTTAAAGAAGGACTGACAGTTACTCTCCTAATCAGTTAAATTAAGAAAAAGAATTCCAAAATAAATAAACTCCAAGAAAGTAGAAAGAAACAATAAGGACCAAAAAAGGCATAGAAAATGGATGCATGAGTGACAGAAATGCCAGCAGTTGGGTCATAGGGCCCTGGGATAAGCAGCCCTCTGCCAGGAATGTGGGGGGCTGGGGGGCAGAGAGAAGACACAGGCCACAATGTGAGGAATAAAAAGTAAAAAAAAACATCGTAAATAGCCTTATGTCAATAAATTAAAACTTAAATGAAATGGGAAAATAAACTTGAAAAATAACTGACTAAGAATGATTCAAGAATAACGATCCTCACAAGAATGACTCTCACAAGAAAACACCGGGCTCGTGAGGACTCCCCGCCAAGTCGCCACCTCCATCAGAAGAGGGTCGTGCCCAACTCATGCCGTGAGGCCAGCGTACATTGGTAGCCAAGGAGGGTAAAAAGCCAAATTTTCTCATAAACAAAAGTCCTTTGAAAAAAATTAGCAAATCACATCCAACAACAATTATCTCGTGAGCAAATTTTACAGGAATGCAAGATTAGAAGACCAATTAATTTCCCAGATTAACCAATTAAACAAAAAAACAATCATAGTAGTTGGAGATTTGACATCCATCCCCCTCACCACCAACCGCCAACATTCCAGTCTGGCCAACGGGAACTCTCTGGATGAAGATGTGTGCTGTCTCTAGGAGTGCCCCATGACGCCAAGGCAGATGACAGAGAGAAGTAGTGGCAGGGCAGCATATCACAATGTCAACCTGCGTTTTGTCATCACTGCTTTGGAGGAATGAAGAAAGATGTCAACTATTGTTTTGCTCTTTCATTTCCCCCCCAGTTCCAAGGGGGCTGTTTGCCCTCTCTTGCTGTAGAGGGTGCTGTGTTACAGGAATGAACGTAAAACATGGTTCAGGGAAGTCTGGCTCCTTGAGGAGCTCGGCCTACAGTAAGGGGCGCGATTGTCTTACTAGGAAAGTGGAAGCAGCAAAGAATAGGAAGAGGCCCGTCATAGGGAGGATACTGTGCATTGTGTTCTGCCAGTCAAAGGACCTCACCATCCCTTGGCAGTGCCCTGAGGGGCATATAAGATAAGACAAAGGCTGCTGGCACGCAAGCGAGGCCAGGCACAAGCACCAAAGCTCCAGGAGCAGTAAAGATGCTAAAGGAGTAAGTGAGCCAGTCTCCAGAGTGCTACACTTATTGTCCAAGACTGGGAAGCTTCCCTGGTTTTGTGAGATACAACAGCACCCCCCCAACCCTGTACTGACCCAGAGTGGTTTTCTATTTGCTCCCACATAAGGGAGATTGGAGTCAGAGTTTACATGATTTAAAGAAGTCATGTGCCCTGGCCAGTGTGGCTCAGCGGTTGGAGCATCAACCTGCGGACCAGAGAGTCCCAGGTTCAGTTCCTGCTGAGGGCACGTACCAAAAAATAAAAAAATAATAATAAAAGAAAAGAAGTCATGGGACGTTTCTGCTCATCAGCTCGTAGCTTAGGCTTTTTACCCGCTCCATGTGGAGGACGCTTGGGTAGAAACAAGAGAGCTACACTGATGACGCTGCTGCAGAAGCAGACAGTGAAGCCTACCTCTCCTCCAGGTCTGGCCACTGCTCAAAGTCGCCTTGGGGGTCACTGCCAGCTCCTGCCTTCTGGGCATCCACAGCTGCTTCCTGCCTGGCTCTTGGCGACACCTTCAGGTCCATGCGCAGGTGGAGGGAGCCGCTGGCCATGCTGTCCAGGAAGCTGAGGATCTGCAGACAGCTCTGTATCTTGGGTGGCAATGGGCTGGCAGAGGAGAAGGCCACACTCACTAAGTCAGCAAATGGCCTGGCCTTCGTGATCTCCCAGGAGGGCAGAGGGGCTCCTTCTTCCTCTGGGGCCCCAAAACAGCCCAGCAAGCCGAGGTCCTCAGCCAGCTTCTCGAAAAGCCCGTTCCTCCTGAAGAAGTAGCCGTTGACAGGGTCCAGGTGCAGCGCTGCAGACACAGCACCGAGGGTGTGCAGGACCAGGTCCAGGGTCTGGCTGGGGGCCACTGCCCCCCACAGTGGCAGCGGGGGCTCCTGCAGAGAGCCCTCCAGGTCAGAGAGCAGGGACAGCAGCCCGTTGAACCCACTGGAGACTCTGAAAGCGGCACGGCCTTTGGGGGTCTCCAGGATCCGGAGCAGAGACTGAAATACCAATGAGATAAACAGGAGTCAGGCCTCAGGCAGGGCTTCAGCACCGAGCTCCTGCGCGTCCTGCACGTCCCTGCCAATGGCACAGGAGCAGCCGGCTACCGGAGGGCAGTACTGAGACACTGGGGCCAGTGCTGCTGCTCTCCTTTAGCTGTAGGCTGCCCCAGCCTCTTTCCAACGGCTGCTTCTAAAGAACACACTCGCTGACAGGGCTGACGCACTGTCCTGTATGTTGACATACAGCTGTCCCTGAGCCACAGCTCATTCTTCTCCTGGCCTGTGCTCACCCAGCCCACCGAATTCCCCAGTCAGAACTCCCCTCACCTGGATGGAGGTTGCTGGACACTGTCATAGCCCTCCCCACAGCGGAGCACCTGCAATCAGGCGTACTCACTGCGTTGGAGCAGAGCACACGAAATACTCACTGAACCAGTGAAATGAACCAGCTCTCCTACTGCAAAGGAGACACCCAGTGAAATCCATAGAATGCAGCGTATTACTATTAATCTCTCTGTGCAAGCACGGGTGCCGGTATTAAATGCAGACTGAGAGTAAATGAATCTCTAAGTCTGGTATGAGCATGAGGGAATCAAGGTAGAGAAGAGAAACCTTTAATGGAAGGGAACCCATGGGTGAATATACAGAAGAAGGCAAGCTGCAATTTCAGCTATTATAACACACTCAGTGGACTCTGCCTTCTCCACTGCTGAGATTTTCACTGGACAGCCACACTTTTAACTCCTTATAAAATAAAACTGGTACGGAGCACTCACAGTGTGTCATTCATTGAGCTTAGTGCATGGTATACAGTAGGTATTTAATGTTTTGTTAGTTCTGTCTTCATTTAGGGAGTTCTCTTTTATGCTGAAGCTCCATGTCTAAAAGTGAAGACTGTGTGGATGATTTTAGATAAATATTAAAAGCCTCTGGTTGTTGATATTTAGTTATTTACTCTTCACAAAAACTGCACGGGACTCCATGTAAGACGCAGACATCGTGCGCTATTTCCTGGAGAGTGGCCAGTCTGCGTGGTTTAGTTAGTAGGGCCAAAAAATTGGGCAATCTAAAAGAAATGGATAAATTCTAGAAATATACAATCTTTGAAAACTCAATCAATAAGAAAAAGAAAATCTGGGCAGACAAATTGCAACCAATGAAATTGAAGCAGTAATTAAAATACATTCAACAAACAAAAGTCCTAGACCAAATAGCTTCACAGGTAAATTTTACTAAACATTCAAAAAAGAACTAACACCTATCTTCTCAAATGATTCCAAGAAATTTAAGAGGAGGAAGACTTCCAATCTTTTTTTATGAGGCCAGCATTATCCTAATTCTAAAACCAGATAAAGACACTACAAAGACACTACAAGCCAATATCCCTGATGAACACAGATGCAAATATCTTCAACAAAATATTAGCAACCCAAATTCAGTAATACATTAAAAAGATCATACATCATGATCAAGTGAAATTTATTCCTGAAATGCAAGGTTGGTATAATATTCAAAAATCAATTAACGTGATAGACCTCATAAACAAAATGAAGGATAGAAATCATGTGATAATATCAGTGGGTTCAGAAATGCATTTGACAAAACTCAGCACCTAATTATAATAAATTCTCTCAGCAAAGTGGGAATAAAGAACATACCACAACATAATAAACAACATATATGACAGACCCACAGCCAACGACATACTCAGTGGCCCAAAACTAAAAGTATTTCCCCTGAGATCAGGCACAAGACAGGAATGTCCACCTTCACCACTCTTATTCAGCATAGTACTGAAAGTCCTAGCCGTAGCAACCAAACAAGAAGAAGAAATAAGAGGCATCCAAATTGAAAAGAAAGAAGTAAAACTGTCATTGTTTGCAAATGACATGGTATTGTATATAGAGAACCCTAAAGATTCCACCCACAAAAGTACTAGAATAAATAAACTCAGTGAAGTAGTAGGCGCAAAATAAATATTCAGAAATTGGTTGCATTTTTATACACCAATAATAAGCTATCAAAAAGAAAAACTAACAAAATTATTCCATGTACAATTACATCAAAAGTAAAATACATAGGAATAAGTTTAACCAAGGAATTAAAAGACCTATACTCATGAAATTATAAGACACTGAAAAAAAACCTGAAGAAGATACAAATAAGTAGAAGCATATACCATGCTCATGACTGGAAGAATTAACTTCATTAAAATGTCCATACTCCCAAAGCAATCTGTAGATTGAATGCAATTCTTATCAAAATACCAATGGCATTTTCATAAAACTAGATCAAATAATCCAAAAATTTATATGAAACCACAAAAGACCCCAAACAGCTTCAGCAATCTTGAGAAAAAACAAGAGTTAGAGATAACACACTACCTGAATCCAACCTATACTACAAGGTGATAGCAATCAAAACAACATACTACTGGCATAAAAATAGACACAGATCAATGAAACAGAAAAGAGAGCCAGAAATAAACCTATACCTATATGGTCAATTAATATTTGACAAAGGAGGCAAGACCATATAATGGAGTAAAGACAGTCTATTCAATAAATAGTGCTTGGAAAATTGTAGATACATGCAAATAATGAAATTAGATCACATGTTTCCACCATATATAAACTCAAAGTGGATTAAGACTTAAATGTAAGACTTGAACTATAAAACTCCTAGAAGAAAACATAGGCTGTAAAATCTGACATTTCTCTTAGCAGTATATTTTCCGACATCTCTTTGGGCAAGGGAAACAAAGGAAAAAAAAATAAACAAATGGTATTACATCAAGCTAAAAAGATTCTGCACAGAAAAGGAAACCATTAACAAAATGAAAAGACAGCCTACCCATTGGGAGAAGATATCTGCCAATGACACATTCAATGAGGGGTTAATATCCAAAATTTATAAAGAAATTATACAACTCAACACCAAAAACACAAACAATCCAATTAAAACATGGACAGAGGACCTGCTTAGACACTTCTCCAAAGAAGACATACTGATGGCCAATGGACATATGAAAAGATGTTCAACATCACAAATATCACCTTACACCTATCAGAATGGCTATCATCATCAATAAATCAGCAAAATGCAAGTGTTGGGCCTGGCCAAAGTGACTCAGTTGGTTGAGCATCATCCTGTGCACAAAAGGTTGCTAGTTCGTTTCCCAGTCAGGGCACATACCTGGGCTACAGTTTTGACCCCTGGTCAGGGCACATACAGAAGGCAATCAGTTGATGTTTCTCTCTCACATCGATGTCTCTCTGTCTCTCTGTCTCTCTCTCTCTCAGCATGTCCTCAGGTGAGGATTAAAAACAAAGAAACAAATGTTGGCATGAATGTAGAGAAAAAGGAACCCTCATGGACTATTAGTGGGAATGCAGACTGATATAGTCACTATAGAAAACAGTATGAAGTTGCCTCAAAAAACTGAAAATGCAACTGCCTTATGACCCAGCCATTTCACTCTGGGTATATATCCAAAGAAACCCAAAACAATAATTTGAAAGGATATATGCTCCCCTATGTTCATTGCTGTGCTGTTTACAATAGCCAAACTATAAAAGCAACCATAGTGTCTATCAACAGATGAGTGGATAAAAAACTTGTGTTGTGGTACATCTATGCAATGGAATATTAATCAGCCATAAAAAAGGAATGAAATCTTATAATTTGTAACATGTATGCACCTAAAGGGTAGCATGCTAAGTAAAATAAGTCAGTCAGAGAAAGACAAATATCATATAATTCCACTTATATGTGAATCTAAATAAACAAACAAAATAGAACAGACTAATGGTTGCCAGAAGGGAAGGGAGTTGGGGCACTGGGTGAAAAATGTGAAGGAATTAAGAAGTACAAATTGGTGGTTACAAAACAGTCATGGGGGTGTAAGGCAGGGAATATAATTGATAATATTATAATAACAATGTATGGTGCCAAATGGATACTGCAAATATCAGAAAACACTTTGTAAAGTATGTGATTGACTGGGCATTATGCTGTACACCTGAAACTAAGACAAAAATAATTCTGAATTTAGACTGTAATTAAAAAATATATTTTTAAAGTACAAAAAATAAAAAAGATAGAAAAGAAAATATCCCCAAATGCAATGGCCACAATGAGTTCTTGACAAAAATAAAATAAAACAAACTAGAAAGAAAGCTGTTACACATGGCCCATTGAAAATCGCAATATGAGGCAATTTAGAGAGCTAAATTAGATCCACTTCATGAAACTATGAAAGTGGAGGAGTCATCAGCTTTGACAAATCTAGTTATTAGTAAACCAGGCAATGTACTCAGCATGTGTCTAGATTAGCTCTCCAAATGCTGGTGACATGAGAGACTACAAAAAAATATATTCTAAATACTGTTTATTTGAATTTTTTCTTGTTTCTTGAGGTAGGCCTGTATTACTATTAATTTCCCTCTTAGGACTGCTTTTGCTGGGTCCCAAGGATTTAGTCATTGTGTTTTCATTTTAATTTGTCTCAAGATATATTTTTCTTCTTTGATCTCATTGTTAACCCATTCATGTTATTTAGCCTCCATGTGTTTTTTGTGTTTTTTTTTCAGTTTTTTTCTTGTAATTGATACAGGCTTCATACCATTGCAGTCAGAGAAGATGCTTGATATAATTTCAATCTTCTTAAATTTGAGACTTGTCACCCACCATGTTGTCTATCCTAGAAAATGTTTTATGTGCAACTTGAAAAGAATGTATATTCTGCTACTTGGGGGTGAAAATGCTCTGAAAATATCAATTGAATTTATCTGGTCTAATGTGTCATTTAAAGCCACTGTTTCCTTGTTAATTTTTGTCTGGAAAATCTATCTATTGATGTTAATGGGGTGTTAAAGTCCCCTCCTATGACTGTATTACTATTTATCTCTCCCTTATGTCCATCAAAATTTGCTTTATATATGTAGGTGCTTCTATGTTGGGTCCATAATTATTTACAAGGGTTATGTACTCTTGTT